ATTGATATTATATTATTTTCTCCATGCCTTGCCTTTGAGCATTAAAGCACACGAGCCATTGGTGCGTGAAGGCATAAGTATGGAGCTGGTCGACCGTAGATTATTCCGTTCAGCTTGCACTCACCCGGCGACGCGTAGTCGAGACGCGGGCATAAATACAGAAGCGAACGTCGAGATGAGAATACGAGCGTCGCGAGAGGTACGATTTGGAGATGATCAATCCTCAGACCGGCCTGAGTGCAACGTTTCGCGTACAGCACGTGGAAGGTCATCGCGAGGTTATCGTCTGGAACACGTTTAACCATTTACATTTGGTGAAGAACGAGTTGGCAGCGTGCAATTTTTGATCAAGACCGTGCGCTAATGAAGCGTCAATGGAGCAACGGAAAATTAGTCGTGGATGAGGATCTTCAAAAGTACTGCTGAAACATACAAATATTGTGATTGACATCTACATGAAACAAAAAGCCTGATTATTTTTAAAAATTAAGTAGAGAATTACTGGAATGATATAATCATCGGTGATAGCTACTACTAAGCATACTTTGCCCTATTTTTTCCAGTGATGAAGCGCGGCTTGAGCTGGACGACGAATTCCAAGATCATCACCAAGAACTGATAATAGGGGATGTTGTATTGCACGATGTTCAGATAGACCACATGGGAATCATGTTAAACGTTTCGATACAATCCTGTCGGAAACTGGACCAATGCATCCATTGTATTTCCCGCATTGTTGGTGTCTCGAGTTCCGCTTAGCTCTACCACCTCTTTATAAAGTCGCGTCATGCACGAGAAACCCAAAAAAAATGAGCTAGAACTCCAGCTCCTACACCATAACTCGATCCTTAAGCCTGACGACGTCATATCTAAACATGCACTCACGTTGCAATGACAACACAGTCTAGATAACCGTTTTGCTTTCACCAAAACTTCAATGCTCCGATCATTTCGTTGCCCCAGAATGAAATTTGATCAGGGTCGCTCGATATTTTCTCATTTAAGAATTTAACCCCTCGGTTACCAGATATCAAGTGTTGAATCAGCTTAATTTACGTCGTAACTTACGACTTCTTTTTAGTTTATATTGATGTGCCTTTTCCACGTCGAGATGCACTGGTTTCCCGCTATAAACTACCACAGGTTTTCTTGATCTACGTCGTAAGAGTTACGACTTTCGAACCTCGTCCCACCCTGGTAAGCCAGAACTTACGACTTCCAAGTCGTTCTTTGTCGATAGCATATGTCTTTCTACGCGTCAGTACTGCTTCTGATCCAACAAAACCTGGGCTATGTTTATCATTGTGATGTGCTTTGAACAACAGAGTATGGACTACGATAACGAAAGAAGATGTGCAGTCCAAGGGGCTCATACGATTGCTGACTGCTGAGCAGGCTGTTCGTCTTCATTGCCAGCGTCGCCGTCTTCATGACAAAGCAGCTCACGACGAGTTGGTTTGCGTGTGCCAACCTTGCCCGATCGCCGCAAAACGACCCGCTTGCCAAGCGATGCTGGAATAGACTCGCCACTGTCAAAGTCCTCATGCCAAATCTGGTAACACGTCTTGCGCACACCGCCGTACAAATGCCGTGACTTGGGGCAAAGGAAGCATTTCGCGTCAGTTTGGGAGCAGTCTTCGCAGTAGTAGGTAGTCTGGAACGATTTCTTGCGGGCACCACGGAGGAGAGCACATACTTTGCACGAACGTTGCTGTCGTTTTTGGACGCCAGAAACAACGACCCAGTCATCGAACTGGACGTGTTTGTGCCCATTCAACCGGGGCCGTTTGCGACAGCGGAGCATCGGTGAGGGTGTCGGGACGGTAGCTTCCTCAAAATCTTCATCTTTGAGCTGCAGTAGTTGTTTATGCAGGAGGAGGTACCATTCTCCACGAGTTTTAGGCACAAGACGCTTGATTCGACATGTTTCCTTGTGCGTCAGATATGCATTCACCAGCGCCATGTCTACGAACCCAAGGAGTAGAGATTTGTAATACTTTTGGAAACGGAAGGATGTCTGGATCGAATAGAACTGAAGGCGGAGTTGATCATGGACATCAACTCAGTCCATCCACCGTTGGTAATCCGTAACGAGCTTCGGGCATTTTACAGTAGACGATCCGACCATCTTGATGTTGCGATGAATAGAATCCTCCATCATGATCGGACCCGTTGCCAGGTAGTGCACTGGTTTGCGATCCCACCAGTGGCACGCAACCATGGTCGGGACAGCAACAGACCGTGAAAATGCAAAAGAGCCTCGCTCAACTGCACGAGGACGCGACTTGCGGCTCTCAACAACTTGCTTATCAAATCCTAGTCGATTGACCATGACCGTTCCCAGTACGTAAATACACATCGACAGTAACTGAATAGCTAGTGGAACGGAAGAATAGAATCTGTCGATAACGGCAAGCCGAAAGCGTTGAGGCCGTTCTCCCAGCAAAGCCTTCATGTTTCGAACAACGGCTGCTGCTCCCATCTTGTTGTCGTATGCTTGTTTATCCGAATCCCCATTCTCGCGCTTCCCAACGTACACCTCGAATCTACAGCAGTAAGTTACGACGTAGAAAATGTCAAGTTCAAGTTTTCAAGTCATAAGTTACAACAGCAAAAAACATACCGGTGACAGTACGCACTGCCAGAGTCGCACACCATGAACAGCTTCGTACCATAGCGATGCGGTTTGTCAGACATAAACATACGCGTGGTGTTGCGCTTCGACGTTGCCGGAAGGACGCCTTCATCGAATGAAAACTTACTACCCAGTGTCCAGCCTGATCGAAACCGCGACTGCAGCACTTCAACAACTGGTCTAAGCTTCCACATCTTGTCCCGAGTTCGTGGAGCCTCGTTATTCACGACATGCAGGTCACGAAGAATGGAAGTGCATCGGTTTCTAGCCATAAATTTGCCAATGTTACCAGCAGGAATCGCTCCGTCGTCAGTCATTGCCCAGTGCCGGGAAAAGCGACGCGTCATTGGGTTCAGCATTCTCGCCACTAAGAGGCCGATAACGTGTAGCATTTCGTGGGGCTGGTATGCAGCCTCCGCACACAAGCGCCGTTCGATCTGCTTGATTGTCTCAGGGGTCGCTGCGCCGCGCTTCCGCTGCAGCGACCGGATTCGTTTTGCCCTAGCATTTGCGGTTTGCTTCTTGTAGCGGTTCGTCTCTTTGGTGATGCTCACCCACAGTGATTTCGGTAGAAAGTAGAATAGTAACATCATAGGGGAGTCGGCCAATTCCTGTAGCTCGCGCGTGGGAGCGGCGACGTCAGGAGACAAACCAGGGTACTCCCAGTTGCTGCTTCAAAGCTGGATGACGGTGTGCTCCATTCAAACCTTCGAAGTGCGTCCTTGTCTATCGCGTCAAGCGTAAGTGTACCTCCCAATCCTTCCACAAATGCATCATCCATGCGAGCAACTTCCTCGTCAGGCGCTGGTTCGTCGTCAGGATACTCGCGACGCTCAATGATATCATCGCCACTGTTGTCACTACTGTCGCTGCCACTGGAATCGATGGCTTCGTACTCATCCGACAACTCTCCATCCACCATGACATTCACGTCGTCGATCGGTATAGTGACGTGGACATCGTCCTCTACACTCCCACCGTCATTCACACTGCCGCCGTCACTGCCTCTCCCGTTGTCAGAATTGTTTGATCCAGCTCCTGATAAAAGACGCTGGAGCGCCCCCACATTCATGCCCTGGTCAGACTGCTCCAGCTGGGCAGGCTCGGAGTCTCTGTCCGAGCCAAACATCGCCGAGATAGTGTTCTGTGACAGCGCAACGGATGTGTCGATTTGTGAGGCGTTCACAGGACCCTCCATTGAAACAACATCGCCCCCGCTTGCCTCCTCCTCACTCTCGCCACTCCCGTCCCTAATGAGACCCGATTCGATGGCAAAGGTCACCACGGCATCCTCACCTACAAAAATCAAATTCATTAGTAAAATAAATGCTGAATAGAACTCAATAACGCACCAACGAACGACTGCCCATTCGGCGACGTATACGTCCACTGGTTTGTGAGCCTCGAAGGTCTCTTCGATGCCCAGCCCACCGAGCGTAGCTGCCTCCATAGATGCTTGAAGTCGATGTCGCGCACGTCAATCATACTTGCAACCGTTGCTTGCTTCGTCCTCGAGCTGGATCGTAGTCTTGCCATCGTGGCAAATTCTGGAATGAGGTCCTCTCGCCAACTGTCCACTTGCGATCTGCTCACAATCTGGTCGGTGGTGCACACCTACCCTTTCCCTACCCTTTCTTTGACTCTTGCCTATTCGACCTCTTTCAGCTTATATTTTTTTGTCTCAAAACTTGACTTGATTAAAGTATCGTGCCCTCTTTTTTCGAGCCATTTCCTGTTTGAAGCCGCTCTCTACGTCGTAACTTACGACATTCGCCCTCATCAAAGTCGTAACTTACGACGTTGGTAACCGAGGGGTTAAGATATCGAATAGAAATAAAACAATCCAAAGCTTTAATAATATGCAAGTCGGAGCAATCGAGCACAAACACTTTGGTGGGGGACGCTGTTCTGCACTCTTGATCAGGTCCACTAATTCTTCAGAGTCAGCGAATTGGTGAGTCGTAGTATGTTTCAATGCGTAGATATTGCGCCAATTTTTGAAAGAGCCCGACGAGCTTTAAAACTAATGCTGTATCCATTCTGCGTCTGCACAAAATTGTTTCATTTTAATTTCACATACTTATTTCTGTTATCAACCCTCGTTGATAGCGCCATTTGTGCATGAAACATGCAATCACACAGCATGATTACTACTAACGCTCAGAAAACCTATTCATAGCAGTAAACACATCCGCTCATCTAAACAGTGTGATTTCATCTACATGGTTAGAGCTGATGGTTTCAGAAGTCATCAAGTAAGCATTGTTTCAATTGCCTCACTTCACTCACGGCATAATACATTTGCACCACTATGACGACCGGGCCTCAAGCAACTATCCAAATCCGACAGTATCGTCCAGAAGATCATGCCCAAGGAACCAAAATCTACGTAGAGGGCATGCTAACGTTCGACCCTAATCCAGAGTACCACTACCTATGGAAACAGGCCCTTATTAAAGACCTGACGAACGATTTTGCTGACATTGAAGCTAGTCACATGGCTCCAGGTGGAAACTTCTTGGTCGCTGTGGTGAAGAAAGATGGATCCAGCAAGATTGCGGGCATAATCGGACTGTTGCGCGAATCTGAAGATGTTGGACAGATTCGACGCGTGTATGTGGATCCGAACTTTCAGCGCATGAGTATCGGTCGAAAAATGATCGCAGAGCTCGAGATCTGGGCCGAGCAGAACGGAATCAAGAGCATATACCTGACAACTGACGCTTACAAAGAGCAACCCCAAGCATTTTACACGGCGCTTGGGTACACCAAGGTGGATGAAAATCAGTACAACTGGACCAACCCTCGCTACCTCCGCCTCTTCAAGTTTGTTAAGCAGTTGTAGCCTGGCACGATACTAAGAAGCTGGGGGCTTACAGATGCGCTAGGCACCATGGCGGTACTAAGAAGCTGGGGGCTTACAGATGCGCTAGGCACCATGGCGGTAATACATCAGCTTTAAAAAAACTGAAAAGGACTGTTGTCGGAAGCATACCATTAATTATGTGTTGCTTTTTAACGCTAATTGGAAAACACTCTGAATTGATTGGGTATAAACAACACGAGGGTCATCAGCAAGGGCTTTATCAATACAAAGTCGAATATATATCTCTACCAACCTAATTTAGGCTGTGAAAGACTTTTTTTTAGAAGGCTCTCCTATGGCTTGTACGCTACTAGCCAAATCAGCCACAGAGTGATGAAATAGATCAAATCAAGCGTATTCCTGCGTATCGGTAGTTGTGTTGTTACTTGGAATAAGCTTTTTTTTTTAGCGTTGACTTCTAAAGTTGAAAGTTTACTTTATCGTTTGTCACGTTCCTTTTGTTTAAAGACAAAGATATTATAAAAGCGTTTTCGTACCTAATCGAATATAAAAAAATCGCTGTAAATTTTGCACGTGTAAAGCTTAAAACGCTCGAATTAGATTGTAATTCACAAGAGCTTTCTGACAATACCTTTATCGAACAAATTGAAGAAAAATTGAGCCCACAACCCTTCAAAATACATTGTCTTTTCGGAGCCCGAAACATGAGATAATTTGTTTTTGGATAGCCATAACTTCTCGGATATTAGACATCTCGAAGCATACAATAATATCTCGAAATAAACGCGAGACGCTACAATATTGATTGATGCGCTGCAATCGCGATTCGTACCTTGGTTCGTAAGAATAATTTCGCTTGGCGTTGCAGTCGAGGAAATCAAGACATGCAATTCTGAATACGTTCGAACAACAATCGAAAACGACGTCTTTGGATGTGTGCTGCCTTTGAAAGAAAGATGAAGCAAGGTGCTGTTGATCACGGTTACTGTGCATACCATTACGAGCAAGAGGCAACAAACACGCTTTCATTCGCTGCGCTGGAGTACATGAAAGAGGTTGAATACTTGCACGAATCGTCCATACTACAACCTTAAGCAGCTGGAGGGCACCCGTTGCCACAAAGTAGAGGATGCAACCTCACGCACCAACACGGCATTTTGTCGAGAACAGTACACAGTTGCCGTCATGTCTTTACAAAGGCGTTCTCCTTTTGAAGGTCACGTCTGCCCACCGAACGCACGAGCCGACCAAGGTACTGAAAAGATACTCATTTCACACACAGCATATCAACGGTGAACTAGCTACACGCACATGCAAATTGTAGAATGCGAAGCCATGTTGACATGTGAGCATAACGGTCAAATGGCAGGATGAAGCCACAAGAGTGTTCGTATCCGCTCCCAATCTTCAAGGAATTTCGTTCGAGACACTGCCACGACCCAAGCAGCTGTGCAGGGAGGGTGGTCCCTCTGACTGTGGTCCGTGGGAGTCCCCTCTTCATTTGACTTGGGCGACATAGCGACAGTCGCAACTCACGCTGCCGACTTGGCTGTTGACACGCACCAAAGTTGGTACAAGTACGTAATGGGACACGTCAGGAAGGACAGTCCATCATTAAATCGATCCGATCAGCGCTCACACTCCTCCATTTGCGCAGCTCGTATGAGCCATGGAGCGCGTTTCAGCAGTCGACGAAGACCTGGAGTTAGCTGAGCGCAGTGCTAGTCCGCGTATGTTGCCTCCATTCCGACGTCCAGCTCCCCCTCCACCTTCTGCAGCACCTCGACGATCTCTGGAGAATTCCCTGCCGCGCCGTTCGCTTCTAGCGCCTGAAGTGGCGAGACCTTCGGATGAGGACTATGCTCGAGGGCGGGACAGCGATGAAAGTAAGGGCGGGGAAGAACCTGAGAACGAGAAGCCTAGAGATCGGAGACCACGGAAGAAACGCCGCAGTCGGATTCTCAGCGAACTGAGACCTGTGGATGGACCAGGTAGCGCTCTCCCTAGTGTGCCACCTATCAACGACGACGAGGTGAGCAGCGATGACCCATTGGAAGCGCCAGACTCTGGCGAACGAGCGAAGGAGGTGTTTGCAGCTCAACGAGTAAGGATCAAGAAGTTGTGGTGCTCTGATCTACATATTTACATGTACGTTTAGGTGAGGAATAAGCGTCTTGCATGGGTGTATGATACTGAACGTTGGCTGTGTGTAGGAAGAATGCCCACCCATTGTTTGGAATCTACGCGGCACACCGACATCATCCGTATAAGCGTGGAGACCGCTTCCTCGTGCTGCTCGTTGCATTGTGTACGTCGAAGAAAACATCGAAGGTTTCGAATCGAAGTGGGCTGATGTATATGCTGTGCTTTTTGCTGTATAGTGGTGGCAGTGCTGTTGTGTGGGTTGTTTGCGATTCGAGATTGTTGTACCGAAGTGCTAGAAGGTCCCGTCGCTGTGGTTAACCGTCGATTGGGAATGAATCAGGGTATTAGACCGTCAATTACAGAGGAGAGGACTGCAATGCCGTTTGCGGCGGAGGATGGTACTTATCCGGGTATTAAGGCATTATTCCGGATTCCTCAGATTGCGAACAAACATGATACGCAGCTGTGGCGCTCGCCAGCGTCGTTATTAGCGATTTCCTCGTCGTCAAGCTCCGGTTCAGCGTCAAACTCTTCGTCCAGTTCTGGTAATTCGACATCAAGTTCGACTTCCAGTTCACAGTCGTCTTCCAACTCAACTTCTGGATCTGGTTCTGGGTCGCAGGTATCCGAGACTGCGACTGTGAAAGTGACGATGACCGAGCCTTTGAACGGCGAAGTGTACAGTCTTTCATCAACGATGCTGATCGAGTGGCGCGTGACACTGTTATCTGGTCCGGATCCAGGACTTGACAAATTTCGACTGGATTTCAGCGCTGACAATGGCGCCTTTGACACGATCGCAGCAAACGTATCGACACCAGTGTCAAGTCAAGACGCAAACACAACTGTTTACCAGTTCGAATGGGATCTGGCAGGCAATATTTCGTGGTTGTGCACAACCTGTGTACTAAAAATTTGTGCGCTCGATGTGGAGTCTCTCTCCGATAATAGTCTCTGCATTCGCTCGGACGGACAAAGTGCCAGCAACCAGAGCAAGAGGCGTCTCCAGTCCACTGTGGAAGGAAGTGGCAGTGGCGAGGTCACCTTCCGTATTGTACGTGAAGCGTTCGAGTGCTCGTGCGGCTTGAGTCACGAGTCTTTCATCCTGGCAGCAGTGCTCATTGGCGTCTGTATCCCCGTTGTTGTGCTTCTCGCCGAGCCCCTGGTCACTTTTTACCGGGATCGTCAACTTTTTGGGCTTTTTGCACGTCGCGATGGTCCTATTCGACCAGTCATCGCGGGGTATACAGCACAATCTGCTACTCGTAAGGGTCGAGTCGTCCTCATTCTAGCGTTGATGGCACTTTGTGTGGCTTGTGGCTTCGTGGCAGCACAGATCACCACGACGAAATTCCTGACAGAGAAAAGTGCAATTGTCGTGCTGTGGGTGGTAATTTTTGCGATCGCAGTGGCTTTGGGGGTATTGGTGTACTGCACGTTGCTGTGGTTCGTGTTGTTTAGTGTGCGTTGGTGCTGCGAACGTTCTCACGAACGTGAATCATCGGGGCTGAGTCAGTTCCGTAACTCGCTGTTATCCGAAGACGTCAATGCGAAAAATGAAAATATTACGAGTCCGATGAGTACTGGATGGACGGTGAGGGGAAGTGAAGCAGAAGAATATCGTATGAACAGGTAGAAATAGAGTTAAAGGTAGAGGTAACTTAGGATATAAAGACCAGAGTAGTTGAAGCTCCGGACAATAATTTTCAATTATTGTGCAATTATTGCAATTAAAATAGACCAGAGCAGATAAAAAATCAGGTACAATTCTATTCGTATCAACATTTACGCCAATTTCCTGCTTCCTAGTGCGAGGCGAAGCTGCGGACGACGGTCTTGCGGTACTGGCGCGTGCGGCTCATCTCTTCGCCGTTTGCCACTGCGTCCACAATGGACAGTTCGCCGCGCAGATCGGTCTCCATCTTGGTCTTGAGCTGCTTGCTGGTAAACCCCTTGCCCATAAGGTAGGCCAATTTGGCAACACAGGCCTCAATCGTCATGTCCAGGGACGTAATCACACCCATATTCAACAAGTTGACACCCGTAGCGTACGTGTCCAGCTGTGTACGACCCTGCACGCACTGCGAGGTGATGATAACAGGGATATCGGCATCAACAGCCATCTTCACCAGCCGCAGGAAGCCGTCCTTACGCAACGAGGCGTTGCCAGTGCCAAACAGTGCAAACACCAGTGCCTTACGCTTATCCTGGTCTTTAGTGGCACTGTGACGCTCAATGTAGGCCTCAATACACTCCGCATCGAAGCCAGGTACCAAATGGAAGACACAAATATTGGTTGACAGGTCGGTAAAGACACGGAAGCGAGAGCGTGGGTAGGGCAGGATCAGCGGCTGGTCCACGATGGCCTCTACTCCGGTCACCGCCAGTGAAGGGAAGTTGGGCGAGTGGAAGGCGTCCACCGACATGTTGGCCACCTTGGTGGTCCTGTTGCCTCTCAGCAGTTTGTTGTTCGAGTAGATGCAGACCTCGGGGATGGCCAGAGATGCCGCACACATGACCGACATGATCAAGTTGCGACGTGCGTCGCTGTGCGGGAAGTGCAGCGGGATCATGGCGCCCGAGATGACCACGGGTTTGCCCAGGTATTCGAGCATGAAGCTCAGAGCGGAGGCCGTGTAAGCCATAGTATCAGTGCCCTGCAGCACCACGAAGCCGTCGTAGTCCCAGTATTTGGCCTCGATCTCCTTGGCAATTGTGCCCCAGTCGTCTGGCGTCATGTCGGAAGAGTCGATCGGGTTGGCCCACTCGCTCACAGTCACGTGAGGCATATTTTCGAACTGAAACTCGTCCATTTCTCTGATTTTCTTCTCCAAGAAGCCGCTGCTTGGGTGCAACACTCCGTTCTCATCGGGTACCATGCCAAAGGTGCCGCCAGTGTAGATAACAAGGCAGTGCGAACGTTCGGGCTTGACACCGACACCGTTGACACCTGCGGTCGTGGGCGTGGGGGAGTGCATCGAGCCGGGAGACGCGCACACGTGGGCCTCAGACTCGGTCAGAGGCACAGCCACGGGACTCACACCGTCCTGGGCGCCGTCGAACGAGGCGCTGAAGCTGTTGCTAGGGTCGCGGGTCTTGGACTTGTTTTTGGGCATCGTGACAAAGGGCAAGTGCGTGTTCGGGACCAAAAGTGCAAATGACTTTGGGCCATTCGCCTCGAAAGGACCTTTTGCATAGCGAGGCGACAAGTACGTGGTGGAACCTTTCGCTGTTGATACTGCGAGCTTGGATGATCTGGTATCGAAATATAGAGCTGAATTTGTAAGTGTTGTATATAAATAGTGAAAGGAGAGAACAGTGAATGATAAGGATATAAAGGTATGGGGTTTCAAGGGGTGGAATGGATGAACGGTCAATATGTACAAGAGACGAGACCAGGCGAATTTACTGTTGCAGTTGCAGGCGATCCGCAACGATTTGACTGCAGACCTTGACGTTGTGTACAGTTGCAAGCGTATTTGCCCCTGCTTCACTGCGTTGGGACGGATGAAGTGGAATTTACCAGTGTAGTTGAGTTTTCTCGGCATGAAAGCCAAGATCTTCGAATGGAGGCTGGTCCGTTGAGCGTGAACCATGACCAACCATCCACGATGGGCTGCACGATTGGAGTAATGGGTTCGTGCTCTTGCACAAAATGCTGTGGTTGTAAACTTCAAGCAGGCTGTTCGCGCAACGGTGACGATGCCTTGAAGGCATTTACTGGCTGGCAACCAGTGCTTGCCACGTTTCGGCGGTACATGCACTTTGTATCGATCGCGCGGTTGTCTTTTATTCGTCGTTCTGGCAGGAATTCGACCTACAGCCCACTCAGGAATCCTTCGTGGAGAATTTAGACTTCCTCTCACTGCGGAGACGAATTTATTAACCACACAATTAGTCGTGTCGCGATAGCCAAGATGATACCAGCTCGACATTTTGGGATTGGTGATAGGAAAGTGATCTGGTCGTGATCGAGTGTGAAGGCTTTGGGAATCGATACGATATATGTCTCGTGAGGATATTGAACGCGTATCCACTCCACGTATGAACATATCCAGGTACTTCCGCATCCTCAGACAGCTTCTTTAGGTATGTTGCTTTGTACTCTACGACGAAATGGCGAATAATTCGAAGTGCAGCGTCACATTTTCTGTCCTAAATGTCCACAACAACGATTATCTCACTTGACCTGTGCAAATGCGAGACTCACTGTGGAGCTCGGCTGCCTACACAAATACCGCGCGGCGCTGGGGACGTGCTCGCACATCGTATAATCAATCAAAATTAGGTCAGTTTAGGACACTTTGGACAGAGAATTCCTTCCATTCCAACCAGGAACTCACCGTCAACTACGGTGTACCGGTGATATCCTGATACAAACAGTTACGGATTCGATAGAAGTTTCACCCTGTCCGGTACCTTTCTTCCTACGCTCATTGTCGTCTCTAATCTTGTAGAAGCTTTCATCGACGTCTTATCGGGTTCCAATCGGTCCCAGTTTTATGCCAGATGCCATGATGGCACCCACGCCGAGCGTAAAGAACGTGAACTTTTTGTCGAATTCATTCATTTTTCTTTGCTTTCCGCCGCGCGTTGGCTCTGCAAGAAGGAAAAGATAGCTGCTTCGCTGCAAGAAAAAAAAAGTCAGCCTCAGGTCTTTAATTTACATGTTGGAGTTCGAGAAATTATTAGTGTTGATGAATGTGACAACGGATGGATGGGTTGGTCACCCCATCAGCCGACGGCATCGACAGATAGTTACCTGCATCGTTTAATGTCGCTCTTCAATTTCACGAAACGATGGAGAACGCCATGGTAGTAGAAAATAAAAAAATCTTCCTGAATGGTAAACTCATATGGTGTACGGTGATGCTCGTATCTTATCCTTTAAGATACGACTCAAAAGGGCTTTCATCGGCGCACGCTGAAACCACAGAATGTAGGAACCGGATTCAGTGCAGGTATGGTTAAATCCAGTGCAGACCAGATAAAGCCAGTTTCTGCGGTTCAGGTTGAACTTGTAGAAGGTAAAATATAAAAGAAGATAAATTACGTGACGGTTGGCACGTTTCGATTTTTGGAAAGTTTGCTCGCCTCCTGCGGTCCACAGACGCCATTCGTCGATCTTCCCCCTCGGACACACGCTGCAGAGTGAAGGTCACTTGAATGGCTGACCCGGTACGAAAGATACGTACTCGTCCGCGATTGATCTATTGGCTCACTTACGCTTTCTTTTCCGCAGGTGAAAGAGAACACGGACTCTGCTGCGCAAGACGGAGCTCGTTTGGGCGCGCAGTCAAGCGTCACAGCGTCGAAGGACACGTCAACCCGCGAGAAGAAGCGCAAACGTCCAAGCGGAGCTTTGCCGCCGCTACCGATCTACAACCGTGCCGCGTTAGAGGCGCATCGTGCCGAGAAAATAGCGCGTGCGCGTATCGACCAGCAGGAGACGCGACTGGTGGTGGGCGGTCGCCAGCGTATGACCAGAAAAGCAGCTGCCGTGCTGCGGAATGAAGATGGGGGAGCAGCAGCTGCACGGGCAAGTGAGCAGACAGATCCGAAGCAGTGGGAGAAGGTGGCGCTCAAAGAAATGTTCGGCATCGGCTTCGATTCCCAGTCAGACACCGCTGCTGAAGTATCGAGCAGCGAGGACTCGGAGTATGTAGACAAGCCCCGATGTCCAAATAGTGAAGTTGGCGACGACTCGTCAAGCCAGATCTCCGTTGATGATGAGCCGGAAGAAGAGTCGGAGCGAGCCAGTAGTGACGGAGATGCTGGGGAGGATGTGGAGAGTGCCGCTGCGGCATACACAGAATCCAGTGAGTCAGATGCAGAGAGTACACCGAATTTACACCAAAACACACCGAATTTGCGCCGATCCTACGACCTCCGCGTCAAGAGGGCCATTCCATCCTGGTTCCGTGGATTCAAGGCCACGTACAAGTCCTGGCATCGATTTCACAAGGCCTTTGATATCTTCCAGTTCGACTCGTTCCAGCGCTTCACGAATCGCACCACTACGTCGGTGGCCACTCGGAACAAGCAAATCGTGTCTTTGTCAAGGGCCAGAAAGCGGGCTGGGAAACAATCTAGGAAGGAGGTCACGCTTATCCCGGAAGAGTGGCAGATGTATTCCAAGACGATGGTGTGCACCCATGGCCAACCGTACGAGCCCAAAGGCAAGGGGAAACGCCGTCATAACAACATTCGCGACACAAAGTGCAAGGCCCGGGTGAACGTGCGAGTTACGGTGACAGTTAGTGGTTCTTGGTACTTGCGCGTGAATGGGTCGGGAGAGCACAACCACGCTCTCACCAAGCATTCGTATGACAACTACGCCCAGAATCGGACAGTGAAGGACCCTCAACTGACGGATGACGTGGCAATATTGCACAAGGCGGGTGCTAATGCGCATGGAATACTACAGTATCTTCGAGAACGCACTGGTATGTTGGTCTTGTGTGGATTCGGTGTTTGAATTTGTATGAATATTGTGGAGTTTTAACTTGTGTGAATTTGGTGCGTTTTACAGATAAAAAAAACAAACTTAAGGATGTTCACAACATGGTGCAGCGCTACAAGATGGGTGACCAAGCCAGCTTGAACGACGCTCAACGTGCGTACGCGGTTCTGGACGGCTTCACGGAGCAGGACGATAGGAACGTGGCTCAAGTGTATGTGGATAGCGAATCGAATGTTGCCCGGATTGCTACGTTCCAGACTGCGAGGATGAAACGCCTGTTTAAGGCCTTTCCTGAAGTTGT